GCTCTTCCACAACTCCTGTATTTCAGAACCGTTCCTTGAGTGTTAGCAGCTCCCCATAACGTTCAGAAGTGTGTTTTTCTGCTGACCAACTTAGCTTAGGCCACCAAAGCCTTGCTTTCCCTTTCAGCCCTATCCAATAGGTAGTGACTGCTAACTAACGAACCTTTCGTCAGTGTCAGTGAGGGTTTTGGTTATGTGCCCAGACACCAAAGAAAGCTCTTTTTTATTTTCTTGTGAATAGGAGGAGAAAATACTGCACTGAGGCATCGTGTCCTAAGTTGAACAGACAGAGAAGTAGTCCTGCCACAGTTCAGTGGTGGATACTCTTGTTTAATTATTATTTTACTGTGAAAATGTGTTTGTCCGTATTTAAAGCACTTGGAGCAGAGGGGAACAAGCTGACATGGCATTGTCCAGAGCTGGTGAAGGCTGTGCCTATTACAGTTCCTGAGGCCTGGGCCAGGAAGCTGCTGTGGGTTGTGCAGCTCGGGGGCATTGCAGGGACACTTTGGCTACTGGTAACTGAGGAGTTAGGGCCTTTTGTAAATGAAGAACTGCAGACCTCAGCTATTTCAAAATCTGGAATTCTTACTCCACCTCCTTACTATTATTACTCTACATAGGAAAAAAAAAAATGCTGCTGACCTGGACTGTATCTGTTTTTCTTGTAGATACAGTCTCTCTGCCTGGTGACAGCAACAGGACCCCAGGGAACGGCATGGGGCTGCAGCAGGGGAGGGTCAGATTGAAGGGTAGGGAAAGGTTCTTCACCAGACAGTGATCTGGCCCTGGAACAGGCTGCCCAGGGCAGTGGTCAGGGCTGCAAACTGCTGGAGTTGAGGGAGTGTTTGGACACTGCTCTCAGACATCAGGTGTGAATTTTGGGTGATCCTGTGTGGAGCCAGGGGTTGGACTGGGCGATCCTTGTGGCTCCCTCCCAGTTCAGGATGTTCTATGATTCTGGGATTCTGCTGTCAGCTGTGGGCTGTTTGGCTTTCAGAATTACCTCCATATCACCAAGACTTTCTAAAGCAAAGGCTGAAGTTTGCCAATATCACATGACATCCAGACAAAACTTATTGTGAGGTGACTGACAAACCGTTAGTAAACATATTGGTAAAATTTGACTTTTCTGCATAAGGTGCTTGAGAAAAAGCTATCAAAAGAATGATAGCATAAACAATTTTCTTCTGTTTCCTCAGCTGTTTCTAGAGATCTGTTTGGACACACACTCCTTCAGAGATCTCTTAAATAACTTTCTTAAAATAAGCACAGATTGGTATCTTAAGTTTTTGAGGTTTTACTTGGAAGATTCAGAACAGTCCCAGGAGGGCCGTTCAGCCCTTATCTTTCCTTGTAAAACGCTGAGAATATGCTAATGTTAGTAGTAGTTTCATAATGTTCATTTGAAAGAGGAACCAAGCAGTCATCAGATGTTGTCATCTTCTGCTCTTGAGCAAAGAAACCTGTAAGTCAAATTCTCTTGTGTCACTTTGCTTACACTCACATCCTTACATGGATTTGAGGACAGTAGAAGCACATTATACCTCAGTCATTGGCCTGGGGATCTGGTCTGTCTAATGGATGGACTCCTTCCATCTCCACCACTGTTATTTCCTGCTGGTGGGGCTTGGGGGAACAGAACTATTGGGTTTAACCTAGTTCCCACCTCACGGCCCCTCCACCGTGGGCACACTGACTCCTTGTCAGCATAGGACAGTGGCTACTCGTGCAGAATCTTTGCAGTTCTGGCCACCTGTGCCTGGAGTACCGTGGGATGGAGTGGGCCTAAGGCATGTAGCTAGTGGTGTACATGGTGTGATTTTCAAGGATGTGTGAAATGACAAAACACGTTTGCAGAGCCTACGCACGGAGAATGGGAGTGGATATTGTGTATAGGTCAGTTCCCCAAGAGTGCTCCTTTGGAGTCTGCAGGCAGAAGCGCAGGACTGTCAGTGTTGAGAAGGATGGTCTTCTTTCCACACTGCCCTCTGTGTGCATGTTGCTGCTTTAGAGAATGGCTGAAAGGGAAAGTGCCTTTTTCCTTCTCCTTTGTAAGGGAAACAAAGGGAGAAGAGCAGAAAATGAGAGTGTTTTGATCCTCCAGCTTCTTATTCTAGCTGCATAAACACACCAGAGTATTCCTGGAAATTGAATTAAGCAAACCTTTTATGTTCTCTCCCTGTTTCCAGATAGCTAAGGTGGCTGCTTGCAGATTTGCAGCTAGAGAGAAGACAAAGACACTTAGTGTGCACAGGCTCAAGTGCTGAGTGGTGTCATGCTGGAAGAGCATGGACGAGCCCTAATGGAGTACAAAAGCTTTCTGAGCGCCAACCAGAAATCTGCTTAAATCCCTGACAGGGATGAGAGCACAGCATGTATTATCAGCATATGCACAGGCTCTAGGAACATTTGCATTTGGGATTTGCTGTAATTAAAAGGCTTCAAGCTTTCCAAAAAGGTTGAAATGGTAGAAGGAGTAAATGTAAGAGTCCACATTTTTCCTGTCTCCATACAAATATTTAGGGCTCTTCCCTTTTTGTTACATGTGTGCCTTACTTATGATCTAAACACCAATTTTTCATCAATATAAGGAATGTGAAAACTCTTAAATTTTGCTTTATTTATTACCATCTCTTGGTACGTAGATAAGGACAGCCCTGTTTCCTGTCCCCATTCAGTCATGACTGAGCCCCCACTGAGCCTGGCCACTGAGCACACAGCTAGAAGTTTGTCCCCAGGCTCCAGTGCCTAATGAAAGCAAACCCTTTTCCTCACACGCACGTGTAGAGCTGCATATCTTGAGAGGTGAGTGCCTGCACAAACCCCGGATGAGATGAGACAGACACCTGAGAGGCAGGAAGACACAGGCTGAACTGGAGCAGAAAGTCACACGTGTCAAATAGTGGTGAAGAGGTCAGATCATGAGGTAGTATCAATGGGTTCTTTGGGGAGAAAGGGCTTTTTCAGGAAGATTCCACTGTAGGCAAGTTTTGACTGGCTTCCCTTATTTTGTAATCAGTTTGCCAGGCTATGATCTCTCTGCAAAAAGTCTGTGACTCAGAGTGGGCTGTTACATTAGTTATCAGTATTGTGGCACAGCTGGGTCTACTAGTTAGAGGAATAAAGGGCAGGTGGATGAATGCAGAAACACATGCAGAAAAATGTCATTCAGAAGCAGGAAAAGGAATGCTGTGAAGTTGAAAATGGCAACTAATTCACCAGTAGTAGTCTGTAAAGATGAGAAGAAAGGTGAGAAAGGAAGTCTGTGGCCATTGAATAGAGGATTCCTAGCTAGCATGAGAGGAAAACGAGTCCCTCTGTGCTTACCTGACTGTGTAGTAGGTAAATAGGTCAAGTTGAAGGAATCTTTCCCTTTTTGGGTGTTACTAGACGTGACTGCCACCTCAGTGGTGACAGCCCTCCCTCCAGTTTCAGCTACTCAAATAGCAGCTGACAAAGACTGGGAATAGGCAGCGTGGATAAACTGGTTATTGCATGTTTGGACTGTGACCCCCTTCTTCTTGCAGTCAGACTGTTAAATATTCATGTAAGCGGGCTCGGGCAGATCCTTGCCATCTGTCTGTATTTATATGACTTCATCCAAACAGCTCCAAAACATGTGAAATTTTATCCTCACAACATCTCTTTAAAGAAAAAGGAATTCTTCTCCTGTCTCAAGGGAAAAGGAATCAAAGCACAAAGAGATGGAATGATTTACTGGATTTATTCATCTGGATTCCAGCAGACAGGATCCAAACTCAGCTCTTCTAAATGCCAGACCCAGCTATGGCCCTGGGTTCCCAAGACAAAGTTCATATTTAGTGCTATAGGGTGTTTTTATGTATAGCTCACCTAATACTGCTCATTAAACATAAAAAATATCCAAGTTTGTGACTAAAAGGAGACTGGAGCCCTAAAGAATTTTCTTTTTCTTTTATCCCATGTCAAAAGCTTAGGTGCAGGCCTTATGTAAACTACTCCTTTCTGCTGTGACATATGCCTCCAGTCATCTCATGCTGAAGGTGGGAAGTAATCTACCTGTGGTCACACTTCATGTTGCTCTCTGCAGATGAGTTTCTGCTGTGGGCTTCTGCCTGTTACTTTGTTCATCTGTCCCTATTTGTGTGTATGGATATTGAGTGAAAGTATTTGACAAGGGAAAATCAATATGAAAACCATTATTTAGGCATCTCAGCTTGCGCTGCGTTCAGCTGCGTACCTTGATGGCCAGATAAAACAGGATCATTGTGCAAGATTCAGTAAGCTGTGCACATATGGGCAATTCTGGGAGGGAACAGATTGTCACAGTTACGTTTGACCTGTTTTAGAGCAATTGTGACTCTCCCTTGGCGCTGTGGTTGTGTTGTTGACATCTCTCAAGAGCTCCTTCAAAAAAAATGCCTCCCTTTTTCAGAATAGCATGGTGTTCTGTGAGAAGCAACTCTTGCATTCTAAATTATGCAACAAGCCCAGTACTTTCCGTGTCTCTGGTGAAGGCACCTTGAACAGTCAGAATGGGAAGGATGAAGGAACAAGGCCATTGAGAAGACAGGCCCAGGCCTGTGAGTGCACGTGCTTCAAGTCTTTGTGGACCTCAGGCTGTGTGACTCATGCGCTGTGGGGATTTGAATCTGAAGCTCAGCTTCAGCTACTGAAGGCCCACACACAGGCAGGGCATCACAGAAGAGATGCGAGTGAGATGGCAGAGCTGCAGGTAGCAAATGTGGGGTAGTAGTCCACTTTACCTTAGCTTACTTATCCATCCAGATATATCTATCACTACTGTACTACAGGGACATGATTGCATTTTTAGAACAAACAGGGTACATTTTCATGGCGGTGCTTAAGAATTACGTGAATGCCAGAGGGGATCTTTGTGCCTTTAACACGATATCAAAATATTTTCTTTCAGGGGTCTTTCTCCATGGCTTAGTTTGAGGCGATGCGTTTACTCATCAGTACATTTTTGTTGATTTTTTTTGGTGAATGTTTTTCAGGCATTGGAAAAAATGTCATCTGTGACCGAACAGCGACTCCGCTGGATGCCTTCAGGATGATGACTGCAGCTCATTATTACCCAAAACTCATGAGCATCATGGGGAACGTACTGCGCTTCCTGCCCGCCTTTGTGAAGATGAAGCAGCTGATCCAGGAGGGCTACGTGGGGGAGCTGCTGGTGTGCGAGGTGCAGGTTCACAGCGGAAGCCTGCTGGGGAAGAAGTACAACTGGAGCTGTGACGACCTGATGGGGGGCGGAGGTTTGCACTCGGTTGGCACCTACATCATTGATCTGCTGACGTTCCTCACCAGCCAGAAGGCTGTGAAGGTGCACGGCTTGCTCAAGACCTTCGTGAAGCAGACGGACCACATCAAGGGGATACGGCAGATCACCAGTGATGACTTCTGTACGTTTCAGATGGTTCTGGAAGGCGGCGTGTGCTGCACGGTGACGCTCAACTTCAACGTCCCAGGGGAGTTCAAACAAGACATTATCGTGGTGGGCTCGGCAGGACGGCTGATCGTCATCGGCACCGATCTCTACGGACAGAGCAACAACTCTCCTCAGCGGGAGCTCCTGCTGAAGGACTCCACACCGGTCAGCAACTCCTTGCTTCCGGAGAAGGCCTTCAGTGACATCCCTTCCCCGTACCTCCGAGGCACCATTAAGATGGTCCAAGCTGTCCGGCAGGCCTTTGAGGACCAGGACGACAGGAGGACCTGGGACGGGAGGCCTCTCACGATGGCTGCCACTTTTGACGACTGTCTGTATGCCCTGTGTGTGGTGGACACCATTAAAAAGTCAAACCAGCTGGGGGAGTGGCAGAACATTTCCATCATGACTGAGGAGCCAGAACTGAGCCCAGCGTATTTAATCAGTGAAGCCATGCGGAAGAGCAGGATGTCTCTGTACTGCTAGCTCCACTCAGCTTCTAGGAAAGAATAGGATCCAGACAGCTCTTAAAGGAAATGGTAATTCGGCCCTTTTGAAGGGCTTGAACATCTTGCAAACAGCTGTGGGGATAGGGGAGAAGGAAATGTGGTGTTTGAATCAACTAAATCTGTTGGTGGCTAAATACCAAAGTGGAAAGGTCCTTAGAAATGCCCAAAATGGATAGGAAAGTTGAGAGCTGACTTACCTGTTTTAGTAACAGTATTATCTGGATGATTGGAAATATGTATCATGGACTCGTCTCCTGCTTGCAGGTGCTTTAGATTATCCAATTGTGTTTACTGTGAAAGGTTGGGAAGATCCTTTTAGATTTTCCTTACCTACCAGAGGGCTGTGAAGGTACTGTCATGTCATCAATTTTTCTGTAGTGTCTGACATGAATGGTTCCTACCATGACAGCTGACACCACCATGCTGTACTACTACACCTCCAACCAACACACAGAACAGTGGGACTTCGTGTGAGTGTTGCGTGACGCAGAAAATTTTGGCAGCTCACTTTTCATACAGCTTTTTAGGAGCTTCTATGTGTTGGTTTGGTTAATTGTTTGTCGTTTTCTTTTAAAGCACAATTATGTAGGAAGATGTGTAGCTTTTACAAAAAAAGTAGCCCTCAACTGCAGTGCATATGCCCCATTTATTGTGGGAGGGAGGGTCTTCTGTGAGCTCATGGTAAGCTTCAGTGTTTACTGTACAGATTTGCTGATTGAAATGGGTTGTGAAAAACCTTGATGAATGGCAGGTGGCATGAAAAAGTGCTGGTGGGTTTTATTACACAGCTGAACTCGAGCTAGCCTCACAAAGGTTTGCACACAATCTCCTGTGTGTGAGACTCACTTTTGAGTGAATTCATCTCGCATTTTGGTTTTAGGTAGATAACAAAGTGGTAGAATCTAACCCTCTAACCCTCAAAGCCTGAGATGCTTAGACAGCTCTTCTAAACTTTTGTGAAGTCACACTTGAGACATCCACACCAACAATTAATTTCATGTAGCTCAACCCCAAAGCTTTCATCTCCACCAAATGGTGCTCGTGAGTGAAAAATAGAAAGGGATGAGAAAACTTCCTGTCATTTCCAGGGAAAAAATTACTGTCACCTATAAGAGGTGGGAAGAGGAATCTCACCTCTTTACCTGCTTCAAGTGGCTAGCTGCTGGTACTGTAGTGATCGTTCCCTGTCATCAGTGCAGGGGTGGACAAACCTTCTTGATAAGTTTGTACTGTCTTTTTTAATAGTTTAGTTTGCAGTCTTGAAAGAATATATTCTTTCAGTTCTTAAAAAAATATAGTGAAAGGCACATGTATTATCCCAGTAAATGGGCATGCTGTTTTTCTGCATCAAGCTGCTCCTGCGCTTATGTGTTTACAGCACTAGGTTTTCAGATAGGAGAAAAAAAAAGTAGAAAACGAGCATATAGCACTAAATTATATTAAACTTGATAAAAACTGTTTCAGGATTCTTTATCTTCATTTTGACTAGGGGAAAGAGGAAGACATTCGGGCAAACAGTAAATAAGAAAATAGGACCCTCTTTTAGATTAGTGTTGCCATTTGGGGTTAGAAAGAGTGCAATCAGAATAATTCAGGTTTTTTTAAAAAGCACTTACAGTTTTGCTACTTTTGGGAGCACTAAGGGCTTCTGAAGAGCTCCTTCAAATGAGTCCATCTGATTGCTGTATGCTCCCGCCTGTCCTGTTCCCAGTTTTAGTGCTGCATAATTTTGAATAGGAGAGCATCATTAATGTGATTCATCTCCTCTGACACAAAAGCCAGCTAAAAGTCAGCTATGTTGTCTCCATCAGCTCTGCAAGGACATGGTTGTCAGTACAGAGAGAACTCTCTGTGGGGTGATGCAGTTCCTCCTCAGATTAACATAGAAGCAGTGCGTACTGGAAACTCCTCTTTTGTCTGTGCAGAAAATCTTGACTTCTACATTTTTAGGTCACTAATATTAGGAAACTTGAATCCCACCCCAAAATTACTAGTTGATTTTTAAAGGGTATGCATGTGTGACCTTTCATGAGGTATTCCCCTAAGTGTCAGAGCGTGACTGATGATGGAGTAATGTAATACCACAAAATTGCAGCCAAACAGAGAACTGTTCCTGTCGTATTGTTCTGCCAGCTTTAGAGATTGTGTCTGAGGCGGTCAGTTTTTGCAGAGGCCTCAGGCAAGCTTTCATCGTTCCTTCTTGGAAGAAGCTTTTGACAAATCTGAATGTTTTTCCTACAGTGACCTATCTTAGAATTTCTGTAGTAGTGTCCTTGCCAACAGGAATTTCCTATTGCAATTGTCATGGTATACCATGATGTACAGTTACAGCCCTTTAAAATGCACAGAAAAGTACAGAAGACCAAATTTGATCAAGAAATCATCCCTCTCCTCTGAAAAATTGAATTAGCCTAAAAGGGATCAAGAGAGATTTTTACTATAATAAGGCAGAAGCCCTTTATTGAAAATACTGGCAAGTTCAAGTCATGAATGTAAGCACAGTAGATAAGTAACCATGTCTAGTTACATATCATCCAAAACTGGAACTAAACATGGACCAAAATGTTTGTGAATCTTATTTCTTAGTGGTTTGTGCTGGAATTGCTGCTCATGTCTTTGCACCTTGTTTTGGTTCATGAGTGTGGACAGCTTTTCCTATCTGCATTTTACTTTTTTCATGCGTCGTTCTGGATTTTATGATTCCAGTTGGAAGAAGATACCCTGGAATCCTAGACAACCCTCCCTGCAGTGAGCTGTCAGCAGGTGAAACACAAGGAACAGGGACAGGTCCTGACCTTAACCGTTCTATCTTGGATCCGGAGGTTTCAGTGTCAGTCATCATCCACGCTCTGTGCAGACTTAGCAATGCAGAACTTGCTGCTTAGCAGAAATAGAATGTAATGCTTTGGTTACAGAGCCACCTGACACTTGTGTTAGTCCTGTATTGTTGGATCCTGTACAGCTCACTGTGTGACCACAGCTCCTAGAGAGGCAGCCAGGGTGAGCAGGGGCAGGGGCAGAGGGGGCATCCTTTTCTGACAGCAGCACAGATCTTAGGCTCGACTGGGGTGAACTGTTACCTAACTGGGACAGCAGCAGTGACTGCATACGTTCAGGATTGTATTACAGGTTTTCCATTCTCTAGGAGGCGAAGATGCTGTAGTTCCAAATGTAAAGATACTTAACTTCCACCTGGCTTAGAGGAGCCAGGAATTGGTTTATTTATAGAACATGTACTACAGTTCTAAAAATAAATGTTACTTTACAGTCTGGGATCTTCCTTGGCAGTATGAAGCCCTCTGCTCTTTTGGTACAGCTGAAAAGTACATTGGGTTGCCCTAAGTAGCCTCTGTAGTTCCTGCTGGCTTTGGGAATTTGGGCAGCAGTTAGAAGAGATGTACTTGATTGAACTCAAAAGCGGTACCACACCAGGGAACATACATTTGGAATTGCACTTTTAATGCTGTTCTTTAATGCTGTGCCACAACGTGTGAGACGAACGCTGCTAGAATTGGTGCAGGCCTAATGGCCAAACTGAGGCTGCTGCTGGAATTTACAGTGGCCCCCAAATGGGCTGATTCATACGCTAGATGACAAATGTTAATTCCTTTTTCCCAGAGCTGTTGTTGAGAGGCTCTTTCTGTTGCCATCTACCTGTGCACAAAGGATACTGAACATTATGGTCTGTTGCCAAAGACGAAAAGAGCCAAAGGGGGCATCCAGGGTGAAGTGCTCTTATGCTTTGTAGGAGCCTCTTCCAGTGCTGGGATGGTCAGCTGAAAGATGATGCTTTGTTTTCAATGGGAATCAGATTGGGCTCCACACCAGGGGTAGTAGAGTAACCCTTCCCCGTGTCCCTGTGCTCCTGCTAGATGCGTGCACAGCCTCAGCGCTGACCTCAGTGAAGTCCTGCATGGAGATGTAAGACCTCTGCAAGAGCTTTGGGTTTTCCTATATCTAATACTGTGCATGTGTTAAATTAGTAGTACTTTAGCTGTGTAGATAAAAAATACTGAGTAGAGATGGTATGTCCTTACCCATGCAACCAACAAGGCAGAGAATCAGGGCTTGCATAGACAAGTTTAGGCTCAGGATGGACTTTTGCAGAGTTCATCGTTAGCATTGGCTGAAAGCATGAGAAATTCCTGCCCAGCCAGCACGGGGCAATCAGAGGCACTCTCCACTTTGTACTTCGTGTTTCCTTCTTTTCAGTAGCTTTTGAATCACGATGAGCAGCTGTTCTGGGAGTTCAGCCATTCAAAGAAGGCTTTCCTGCTGTGTGCGATCACAGCACAAAGACAATTCAGTTTCTGTTACCTTGTTTATTTCTGTGTGCATACAAAAGTGGAAAAGACCCAGACAAAAATTGAACGATTCTCTACCCCCCAAAAAAAAAACAAACAAAAAAAAAGCTGATTTTATTTCATGGGTAAAGATAAATGTAGTAGTTTGATGGTGTCCTTGCAGAGATTCAGAAATTACTGATGGCAATTTCTTGTTTTTGGGAATGTTTAAATTTGACTTTGTTCTCTTTCCTTCAGTATAAAGTATCACAAATTGCGAAGTCTCTTCACTGTTGTGTATTTGCAAAGGTCTGAGTGCACCCAGCAGATGTTTGGCTTTGTGCAGATACTTCACACGTTGGCTTGGTGGTCCAGTGGCCCAGTGATGTAGCCTTAAGTACATAGGAAACACTGGGCCGTTTGACCCCTGCAGCCCTCTCTGGGTATTTAGGACTGGCTGTGAAATGGCAGGACTGTTCAGGATAGCAGCTTCTTGTTACTGAAGTTGTTACTTGTGGGGAGCAAAGCTTGTAAGTTTTAGAGGTGACGTATGACTGAATAATCATTGGCAGTTGTATCTGCTTTAAAATTTCCACTCTCTTGAGCTGCTGGATGGAGTATGTCCAGTAAAAACAACTTCCCCTTCACAATAACTGCCCACTCCCATTTGCTCATGAAAAGAAGAAATTTTCAGTAGACAGGACTATACATAATCTGCGTTCATGAACCAGTGTCATAACCTCAGGACTTAACTGAGTGTATGAAGCCAGAGCCCAGGCAAGTAATGGCTTTTTCAAAGCTGCCAAATCAAAGCAGTGGGGTTGGAGAGTGATGGGTATCAGCGTGGGTCAAACTGAAATAGCTTTTATTCAGCATTTTCTGTGAAATGAACAAACAAAATAGCTGTGGTCAGTCCAAAACTGAACACAACACATGCAGAAGGTCATTTTTTTCTCTTCTTTTTTTTTTTTTAATTTTGCTTTTGGGTTTAAGTTCCATTTCTAAAGAGTGCTGTTTTGAAATGAAGTTTTTAAAAAATCCCTTCTATTATGTTTTGTGAAGTTAACAGTTTGGAGTTGTGTTTTTTTCTTGTTTTAGGTTCACACTTTAAAAAGTCCCCATGCCTGTTTGGTGGATACCACTGCCTTTGGGCAGGTCCAGCTCTGAACTGCACCCTTGCAGTGTCATGCAGTGACCCCCTTCCAGCATTTGAATTTGGCCACGTGCATCTTCTTGTGGCAAAGGGAAAATCGGTTCATTGCACGGTGTTGGCTGTAGATAATCAAAATACTGTTTGCAGCAGTGCCAGCCATCGTCTCTAAAAGCACTTAAAGCTACTGACGTGTTTACTGTGGTTACTTATGACCTTGCAGCCATCCATTACTCTCTTTTCTTTTTACACCATCCGTCAGACTCGCTTACCTCCCCTCCTTTCATTCCGTTGCGAGTCAAGAGGCGGGTCTCCCCATTTCCCCCTGAGTTTGCTCCCAGCCTGTGTTACACGTGGCATACAGGGTGGCTAATGTATGACTTGAAGTAACTTTGGAGACAAATCCATTAAAGAAGGTGTTAACAACACAACCACTCCAATACATGGCATACGTGATGCCCCCGCTAGGGCAGGAATCCAAGCTCCCTGCTGTGCCGTGCTTCACAAATGACACTCACTGTTTCTCTCTGTACTGGTTTTATTTGATTTTGAAAATGAGAATATGTTCAGTTTGTTGCTGTGTCAATATTAAGTATATATTTATTGTTTTTCAGACATACATACATATATATAAATGCTATATATATATATAAAATGTCAACGCATGGACATATGTACAGTAGATATTTTAAAGAGCTATTTATCAAGAAAAGTAAGTGTTATAAGTAAACAGAGTTTATATTTTATATATTATGTAGATAGCAAAAAAAAAAAAAAAAGCAACAAAAAAAGTGTTTAAATTATAGTAGGACTTTTTGGGGTGGGGGGTGGGGATGGAGGGACGGTGAGGGCCGGTTCCAGCATTTAAAACAGCCAAACTACTTTGTACGGAAGCTGCCTGCTGTGCCTCTCGGCTGCAATATCTGTTTGTTTCTTCTTCTGGAAGATGATGTGCATTGTTACTTTTACATTGCTTGGGGAATGTAGTTAGTTTATTCTCGGCCAACTGGTATGTGCTGCTTAAATCATGGTTTCCTGTTGTTCTGCATATTTGCATCGATGGAATAAAAGGATCTTAACTGGCAAATAAAGACATAAAAGGATGTGATCCCAGCTGTCTGTCATTTTTTCCCACATATTCAGGGAGTGGGGTAATTGCCCTCACCTTTGCCTGTGTTTCCTGGTTAGCCTGTAAGTTCAACATGTGTGAGTAAAACACCCAGGCATTGTGCGTGGAGTGGGGATTCTGGTGGAAGAAGAGAGGGAAGGAAGATTTAGCACTGGCCTATCTGAGGTTTTAGTGCTGCTGCCAGGCCTGAGCTAATGCCTGCCAAACCATGTGTCCCAGGGTGACAGCTGGTTTTACTGCCAAAGGGTACCACCAAAAGCAGCATGGCTGGCAGCAGAGAAAATGAGGACATAGGATGCCTGTCCTGGGCACAGCCTGGAGACCCTTCAGGCTCTCCTCCCACTTCCCCATGGCTGTCCTGGGATGCCTTTCCTTCCTCATCCTCATCCTCAGCTCCTTCCAGTCACCTACATCTGCCCAGCCTTCATCTCATCCCTTGTAACGCCTTTGTTACACCTCATCAAGTGCAAAACAGGAGGTAGGACAAGGGGAAATGTTTTAAACTGAGACAGGGGAGGATTAGGTTGGATATTAGGAGGAAGTTTTTCACTCAGAGGGTGGTGAAGCACTGGAGCATGCTGCCCAAGGAGGCTGTGGATGCCCCATCCCTGCAGGCATTCAAGGCCAGGCTGGATGTGGCTCTGGGCAGCCTGGTCTGCTGGTTGGCGACCCTGCACACAGCAGGGGGTTGGAACTGGATGAGCACTGTGGTCCTTTTCAACCCAGGCCATCCTATGGTTCTATGACAATAAGAAGCAGTGGGAAATCCTGGGCTCTGAGGAAAGATATATTGCTTTTAAGATGTTGCAAAAAGGTGGGAGCCTTGTCTGTGCTGCTTTGTCTATCTTGCAGCAGAGCACTCAGGAAGATGGTAGATCTGCTCATGTCAGTACTCACCCATTTCTCAGGCACCAAGAACGTGCAGCGAGGCTGAGGCAGCAGGCTGTGCATGAATGGGAAATCACAGGCATTGACAGTGCACACCTCCCTCAAATCACATGGTGCTGTGAACTGCACATTTCTGTAATACACAAAAATCTACACAGTGGTTATCTTTTATTTCAACACAGAACTGCAGTATAGTACTCATTTCCACTACTGCCATTGCACCTATACTACTTCAAAGATGTATCAATGTTTATATGCACATAAAATGTACTTTGATCTGTTTAATACACATTGTTTTCTTAGACTGAAGAGAAGCAAAGCGAGGGAGAATTGGTGCCCAGGCAAATGCAGCTCAGTCAGGCTTCCAGACCAGTGCCCCAACTGATCAATTAACCACTGAAATAAAACAGGGTCAAACTTTATGACATATTCTTAACAGTAAAACCAAGACCGCTTCCACTCCAAAGGTTAAGACATAGAAATCTTTGGAAAACAGCACCTATGGGAACAATTCCTACGAAAGGACGCTTCGGAGCACACAGTACTTAACTATACAGGTAAGTGCAAACGCAGCAGTGGGTATAAAAATATCACGTTAATGAGGCTATAGAAATGCTAAGGTAAACTTCTTCAAATGTGGGTCAGTGTAGTGAGACACCGAGGTGTAGATTTATGAAGTAAAGTAAGAGTTCTGCTATTAATTGCAGGTGAAAATGGAGGAGAGGGGGGAATTCCTGCCCATTTTCCATAGCTTTGGAACATGCAAGGTTTCTGCGGTCCCACTGGCTTGTTCTGCTGTTCTCTGGAGCCCCTGCTGATTAACAGCCATGCAGCAAAAACAATGGAAGGCTCGTAGCCATAAATATTAAACAGAGGTATGTTAAATGCACTGCATTGTTCTCTTTGGGACTGGAGAATTTGCCGGGGAAGGGGCTATTAAAAAGTGCTGCTGTGCCAAAGAGCAGCAAATGCCTTCATTGCTAATTCCTGTCGGGTAGCTGTGGAGCGCTTTGTAATGTGCTGGTGCAATAGCTGCATTGCTGTGCCAGCATTCGTAGCAGACAGGACAACGGGGCGTATTCTGTTCAGGTAATACTCCAGAGTGCCTTACAGGCCAGATAGCACAGCCCTGCCTCCTGCAGCCTGGGGAATGGCTGCCACAGCCCAGCAGCACCCAAAGCACCTGTGCCTGTGCTGGCTGCTGCTGCCACCATCACACTCGGTGTGGATGGAAGCTACACACAGCCTCTAGAAGATGCCCTTGGGAGGCTCACTAGTACTAGCTATTGCTTGTCTCCTGCATACATCACATCTTGTAATACGTTTTCCCCTTGAGAATGCTCCATCCAGTGAATTCAGCAGCACAAACCTTGGTGCGGCACCCCATCTTTGCCTTCAAGTGAACGATTGTGGTCATTTCCTTGCAGCTACAGCCCCGTGAGCAGGGCCTGTAGGATGAAGCTGGGCTGCTGGCAGATGGAGAGCAGCAACCCTCACTCCTGCCCCCAGCTCCGCTCCTGTCATCCGCGGGCGCTGGCAGCAGGGAGTGTGTGCAGCCATATGCTTCATGTGGCTTCATTTAGCTGGAAACCAAAAATGCGGCTTTTTGCTGGACTCGTTTTTAGGCAGATCTGCTCCCTCATCTGCTCCATTGTCGACAGCAATTTATGCCAGATCGCTTTAATAGCAGAATGCAAATAGAAACCAGGTTGCTTGACTGCCAGAAATGTGCTTTTTTCCCCCCCCCCATTGGATCAAAGATTGAGTGTGCTGACTGTAGAATAATAAACAAGTTGAAAAGAAAAAATAAGAAAAGGAATGAATGAAGGACAACAGTTTTAAGCTCTGTATTTCCACAAGAAAGGATGTACATGTAAGCAAACATTTTGTAGGAGAGTGGAGGCCCCCTCCTCCAGACGTCGATGCACAGTAACTCGCGCTGCAGGAGTGGTGTACGCACGGTGTTAGAGAACCTTTCAGTGTCTGCTCCAATCTGTTTTATTAACTCTGCCTTTTGCAGCTAATCATATCTTGCAGACTAAAGGCTTTTGCAGAAATTACCGTGTCACATCCAGGCAATGATGGCTGCCTCTCAATGCAACCGGCTTTGTTGCTTGCACAAATACATTTTGCACAGTGAAACCTGAAAAAGCTCAGTCCTACATTTCAGCCCTCGAGAATTCAGAGGTAGCTGGAAATTGAGCTTGTAGCTCACTACATTTTGTTTGGTGCCCTTTTTCCCCACTGCTGTCTCCACACAACTAGATTTTATTTTTTAACGTTGCAGTGGTGCTGTTTCTGCCTATGGTAAAAAAGGACTTACACTTCAGACTGTTCCAGGCTCTCCAGACCGTGAAGGAAGGTAATCAGAGAGCAGAAAACGGGACCAAGACAAAAAGCAGATTCACAAGAAATGTAGGGAACAAGAATGTTCCTGGGTGCTAATGACCCATTCTCTATTCTGTGAATTTCTTAGAAACATTCCAAGCATGATTTTTGGCTAAGATCAACTTGTATTCTTCTGTATCCCTCCTGTGGCACAGTCTGAAGTTAGCACACAGCACAGACTATTCCCCCTAAGCAAGTTGCTTATAACCACCCCCTTTTGGAGGCGATGAAGTTAATAACACGGTCACGGACCATCTGCACCAATTGATGTTGGTGCCAAGAGAGTGGTGGTCCCAGGCACTTCATCTGCAGCTGCAGATGTAGTTTAGAGTTGGTAGAATTGGTGGATGTTGATATTACTAAGCTACTGTGTTAAAAAAACACAGAGTGAGGCAATACAGGTATAAGCTGTGCGGAGCCACTTCAGCACAGTGCGATTTGATTGAAACCACTCACTTTTACTATTTTACCACTCACTTTTCTGAGCCTTTTGCTTGCAGTTTCAAAACAACAGAATCAAGTTGCAGCAGGACACCCTGCCCTTCTGGCTTCAGAAACTTCTGGCTAGGAATAATTTCTGTTAGCACTACAGGAGGAACAGGGCCTCCGTGGAGAAAGGACTGAGTCACTTGCTGATTAGACAGAGCTATCCACCCACATTTGGCAAATGTCTGTACTGCTTCACGTTTTTCAAGTGCCTTGTAAACACGAACAAGTCCCCACAGAATGAGCTGTGTGATCATCTCAGTTTGGCAGCTGGCAAGGCAGAGGCAGAGGAGAAGTTGGTGAGCTCATTCTCTGACGAAGGTGGCTTTTCTCTGAATTACCTGGTGTTGTTTTCTTCTCAATTAGAAGTTCCCTCCCTCAGTAGCTGCACCCATCTATTGAAACATCACTGCCAAAGGACCCTCCAAATGCCCGAGATTGAAATTCTCATTCTAGACAGGGTACAACTTCAGGTCTTCATGAAATTCCTGCCTGCTTAGAAATACTCTTGCAAATAATAATTATAAATAAATAATATTTATTTATAAAACACATCAAAAAGGCAGTTTGGGTAGAATTTTCTCCTTTTATGGACTGACTGATCTGAATTGTACAGCATCAAAAAAAGATCTTAAAACTGGAAGAACTGAAATTGCAGTTTTAAAACACATACAGTGATCTTCGTTTTTCTGGCAGGAGCTCAGTGGCTTTACAAAGGAGGCACATACCATTCATTATCTTCACCTTGTCTTTTGGAAAACCCCCAAAAAAATGGCATGCCACGTTGTTCAAGGCCACACAGAGCACATCCATGACATCCAGATATTAAATCCTGCTGCTTTAATTTTTAGTTCAATTTAAATAGTTCTTAAGCCTAATACAATCTCATTCGTTATAATTAATATAATTAGTCATATATCATTAATGTCTAATAAGCTGCTGCCATTTGTGAATGCCAAATAAGCCAGTGTTGTCAACACAGCCTAAGTTCAAATTCATCGGTTTAGGAAAGCGCTAGCAACACCAAAGCCAATGCCAACAGCTTTATTTAAGTGAACACATTTCATCTAACCTTATCTATGGAGGGGAAAGTGAGAGATGCTGCACTCTCCAAGCATCGATTTTAAAACCAAGCTTATAAAATTAGCAGCAATCCATGTGCTCACCAGGAAATCACTAAAATAATCAATTGGCTTGGAACAGTCCAAGTCACTCCA